GGAAACCGTGGGTCCACACTACTGCTAGTGGCTAGCAAGCTACTCTGGTCAGGCCGGTGGGTGAAGCGTGAAAGTGGGGTGGCGGCGGCTGCTCATGCCCAGCCCCAGGGTTGCCTGCCTGCTCTGCCAGGCTTCTGCCTGGCTCTGACCTGACGCTTCCTTCTTTGGGAATGCCAGCGTACACCTGGGCCTATCCCACTACTGCACACTGGACGCAGGAAACTTTATGGTTTTACTGGCTTTACAGCTGATTTTACCAAGCTGCAGGCGACTTGGGGCATAGACTTCAGCACGGCTGGAGAAGTGAAGACGTACCCCTGGGGATGGACTGAATTCATCTTCACTATGGGGCTCTGGGAGACAGAGGTGGGATGTTCCAATTTGGGTCTTCAACGTCCCCAGAAGGCCCAAAGACATGGTCGGCAGCCTGTGGTGCTACTGGAGGTGGCAGGATTCTCAGCAGGTCCCTAGTGTCATAGGGACCCTGGCCTCGCCCATGTTTTCTTTCTCATTTCCTGGCTGCTGGGAAGTGAGTAGGCCTGCCCTGCCCTCGGCTCCTGCTGTGGGCTCCCACCGTGACATGAGGAGTGTACATAGAGCCACCACGGCCCTGAAGCAATGAGGCCACGTGCCTACAGACTGCTCCACTAAGCCAAAATAACCTTCTTGACCGTGACAGGCCTTCATCCCAGCGACAGGAAGCTGCCCACTGTTTTCTGCGAGAGCACCTTCCACCCTGACTATCGCACCAGTTACTGCCTCTCTTGCCGAGGGTCTGAGCCAGACCAGCCCTCTCTCTGGATGGCTGTCCTCAGCCCTCACACAGGTCACGTCCCTCAATTCCCTGCTCTCACAGAAACCTACTCCTGCTTATCACGCAACCTGTGACGTGACATTTAAAATGTGTTTCTGCCTCTCCAGGCCCCCAGACAGGAGGTCTACGGGGAGAGACCGTGTGTCAGGCTCCTGGTCCCCAGCCCAGTGCCTGGCACTAACACAATGCACGAGAACGGACGAGTGGACGGTCTCACTCCGCCATCCCGTCGCAGTGACCATCACTCCCCTTTCAGCACTCATTCACAAAGCTGAGCCTTTCCTCTTCCAAGGGCAGAAGGCAGCAACATCACCACCTCCAGACAGGCCTGCTGGCTCGAAGACAGCTTGTCGGGGGACCGCACCCACCTGGTTCTGCAGGCCTGGCTGGGGCCGTGTCCGTCACCTGGGAGCTCGGATTCCGCACCCCGCCATAGGGAGGGTGCCAGGTGTATTCTGGCTGCAACAAAACTGGAATTTAACCTCCATCACCGCACCTGCTAACCACAACAGCAGCTGCGGTGCTGAGACCCGAACCAAGTGCAATTTAATGCTCCTAACTGTCCAGGTTAACATTCCCAGGTGAGGAACTGAGGCTTGGAAGGGATAAGAAATAGCCAGCGAGGGAAGGCGCCAAGTGTGGCTCAGAGTAACCGGGCTCTAGGCCTGCGCTGCAAGCTAGGATTTCCAGCTGTGCACAAAGCAGAGGTCCCCAGGGAAGGTGAGAAAAGCAGCCAGTCCCCAACTAGGGTAGAGCTGGGGATGTGGTAAAGGGACTGAGGAGAAGGGCAGGTGACAGTGGGTTTTACAGAAAAAATAAAAAGCACAGTAACAGAAGAGAAAATGGTCACTCTGCAGCTGGTGAGTGCGGCAGTAGCAGGCAAAGCGGACCCTGACAGCCCTGCGGGGCCAGGAGGGATCTTCCTCCCTGACGTACCCTCCCAGCCACCTCTCCTGCCCTGCCACCAGAGGCCGCATCCCCAACGTCTGCTGCCTGAGCCAGAGCCTCCAGCATCCTGGGGTGGCTTGGGCAGGGCAGGCACGGACTCACCAGATGGAAGAGGCGTGAGCTGGCAATCGGGGGTGGGTGCTCCATGCCCACGGGAGGTGGGGGGTAGCGGATCTGGGACCAGTCCTCGAAGCCGTGATGCGGCACCAGGGCTGGCACAGCCGGGAAGGCGTAGGGGTAGGCCCCACAGATGTGTTCTGTGTGGGGCTCCATGTGGTAGCGCTCGCCTGAGGCCTGTGCGGAAGGCTCACGTTTGGCTCTGCCCAACAGTGACAGCCACCAGTTTCCCCGTCTCTAGAATCCTGCCCCTGTGCAACGGGCGGGGAACGCAGGAGGACAGCAGCCTGACGGCAGGAGTGCTGCGGCTCCCAGTAGGGAAGGGAGGCTGCCCCGCTGCTCACCTTGGCCTTCCTCTTCTGCTGTCTCAGGGCCTCTTTTGCCTTCTCTTCCTCCTTCAAAGCTTTCAGCTGTAGAAAGGCAGAGGAAGGGACAGAAGCTCACTGACCCAGAGAGCTCCCACTAGGCGGCATCCAAGACCTCCCTGGCCAAAAGGACTGAGTGGCTGTGCCCAAGGGAGCCCCAGGGAGGGCAGGGATGGGAGCATCCTGCTCCTTGTTCCTTGTGGGTGTGTGGATGCAGGCCGGGGGAAGTGCTGCTTCTAGGCCTCTGACTCACTATCCAGTTCCACTCTGCCATGCAGGGCTCAGGGTTAACTCCTAAATTTCTTCCCTTAAGCTTCCAAATGGACAGCCCAGGACGAGCTGGGCATCTTAGACTCAGACCTGTCACTGCACAAGGCCCAGAGAGGGCAAAGGATGCACTGAGGTCTTGGGTGAGAGGAGGCCCCCAAACCCCTATCCCCAGCCCACAAGGACAGCCTTCTGCTGGTCGCTCCCACCTGGCTGTTAGACAAGGTGACCTGGGCCTGCAGTTTCTCCAGCTGCTTCTTCAGCTCCTCCTTCTCCTCATTCATGCGTTCCCGGTCGCTGCGCTCCCTCTGGAAATCCTCCTCAAAGATCTTCACCTGGGTGACGGGCATGGAGGGCAGGCAGCTCTGAGCACAGCCACAGACCCTGTACTTCTGGGTGGGGTACTGGACCAACACCATTCTCAACTGTCTTGGGCTTCCCCATGGGAAGATGGTGTACCTCCTGCTCACACCCCCAATTTGGAACAGAACAGCTTCATAACCCTGTCTCTTATGCTCTATTTTTTTTTTTTAATTTTATTTATTTATGTGGGGGGGGGGTGGCCAGCTCAGCCCACCAGGGGGCGGGCTGGCTGGCATGTGGTGCTGGGGGATTGAACCGCGGTCCCTGTGCTTTGCTAAGCTTGTTCTAAGTAGGTGCTTTAGACCACTGAGCCATCTCACCAGCCCCTATACTCTGACTTTAAAGGATATTATTTGGTACAGCAATTAACCACTAAGAAGAATATATGCAGTGTATTATTTGTTGAAACTGTACTTCCGATTTGATTTGAAACTGTCTCATTGCTATCTGTTTATCAATAAAACTTTGAAAAAATAAAAAAAAATTTTAAAAAAGGACATTATTTGAATAAAATTTCATGGCTTAAAAAAACAAAGATTAAAACCCACCAAACAGGGCCAGGGATATAGCTCAGCAACATAAGCACAAGGTCACAAGCTGATTCCCAGTACCACAAAAACAAAAACCACTAACCGGCGCAGCCCCTGCATCTGCTGCGGAACAGGCCAGTGTGTGTCAGCAGCAGGATTTGCTCTGCGGGTTCTGTGACCAGGGCCACCTCCCCTGGGGCGCTAGGTGTCCTGACAGGGGACATGGGAGACCTGCAGGTTCCCATCCTTACTGCCTGTTACATTTGCTGACTGGACCAAGATGGCTGGGTGGGTGTGAATGAGTGAGAATGCCAGAGCCTTGCTGGGAAGACTGCTCAGTGGAATAAGCGCTTCCCTGGCAAGCTCAAGGACCTGAGTTCAATCCCCGGTTCCGCAAATAAATAAATAAATAAATAAAGTCTGAGAATGCCAGAGCCTCTCACTCTCCCTTTGGCCCTCTGCGTTCCTCCACAAGAGCGCATCTCTTCTATTTGCAGCAGACATACAGGTTTTCCATTTATAGTGGTGAAAGGAAGTTTCCTTTTAAACACATTTATTTAAAATTTATTTTTAAGGGCTGGCCAAATAACTCAGCAGATTAAAGCACCTGCAAGCAGGCGCAGGGGCCAGGGGTTCAATCCCCAGGACTGCTGTGCTGGTCCCACCCCCAGGGTGCACTGAGACGGCAATTGAGGCTGGGCATGGTGGCACACACCTGTAATCCCAGCTCTTGGGAGACTGTAAGCAGGAGGATCACTACGAGTCTCACTAGTAGTGAGATCCTGAACACCCTCTAGACCCTTCCCTAAAATACAAAATAAAAAATTTTTAAAAATCTTTTTATTTATTTGGTATAGGGTGTCACTATACAGCTTGGGACTCCTACTGATCCTCCTGTCTCAGCCTCCCCAGCACTAGGATTACAGGCATGTACCACCACACTGTTTCAGTGGCAGGCAGGACGCACCTGCGGTTCTGGGGCTGGCACAGCTGGGGGCTGAACCTGGGTCCTTGAGCTTGCCAGGCAGGTGCTTAGACCACCAAGCTATCTGCCCAGCCCTAAAATGTAGTTTTTACATAGCAGGGAAACAAGCACCAGCTAGGGCAGAGATGGCTAAATCACAAAGGCAGTACAGGAGAGACCAGAGCAGGCAGGCCCAAGCCACCACAGAGGCCCCAGTGCTTGATCCCCAGGACTCCGAGCACTCCCTGGCCCTCGAGATGGCGCGGGCCTCAGAGCCTACCTGCTGCTTCAGCAGCTCGTTCTGCGTGGCCAGCTCCTGCTTCCTCAGGAGGCTGTCAGCACCCTCTGGATTCCCAAAAACAAAGGTTCCTGGGGATGATGGGGAGGCGCGGATGCTCAGCGCTTCCTCTAGGGCCTGGGTCAGGAAGAGAAGGACAGGACCGTCAATGCAGGACGATGAAGACAGGAAGGTAGGTTCTTCTGGGAGCATCTTCAGGGCCTGCTCCCTGCTCACAAGGAGAATAACCACCTGCACTGTTCTTCAAACGCAGCCCAGCTGTTAGTCTTCTATACATACACCTGTTGGAAGCCGCCAGTCTGGGAGGGGAGAATGAGGCTCAGAAACCCAAAGTGGCTCGCGCAAGGTCACACAGCCAGTGGCCCAGCATGTGACCCTGAAGCATGTGCTCAGCTGGGGGCCTAGGGGCTATGCCCTAAACGGTGTAGGTCCCGATCCCTGGCCCAGGAGCAGCTTACATCCAACAGTGTCCCTGCCTGAGACTGCTCTTCCAGGTCAGCCCACCGGGCACTGCCCAGCTCCTCTGGTCATCAGACTGGATTTTAATGACTACCCATGTGCTACCTTACCCTTCTCACTCTGAAAGGAAACTGAAACATCAGCAAGTAATATTCTGAAAGTAAAAATAGCAAATTCACATGTTCACAAAACATGTCCCTTATGTAAATAAACACTATGCCCACATCTCTTTTTCCTTGTTTTCTGACAGGGTTTCGCCGCATAGCCCAAGTGGCTCAAACTCAATCCCCTGCCTCCTCCTCCCCTGGAGAAGCTTGGATTAAAGGTGTGCATTACTCTCCCAGCACCTGGCTTCTTGCAAGGTACCCACTCGCTGCCTTCTCTGTCCACCCTGTTAACACATTTTTCAAACTCCAGACTCCTCCCTAGGCCAGCTGCCCTTTGCCACCACCAGACTTCCTCCTTTCAAAGGGCGGCTCCCCTGCCAGGCCTCGCCCTGACTGCAGTGGCACAGATGTCCCCAGCTTGGGCCTGGGGTGTGCGGACCCAATGAAGGTGCTGGACCAGGCTCCTACATGGTGTTTCTTAGGGAGGGGACGGCCCTACTCTGGCTGCCTCCTTCAGCTCATGTCCAAACTGAGAGGACGAGGTCTGGGACAGGGAAAGATGTGCTCTGGGCGAGGGCATCGCAGGCTGCCTGCCCCGCCTGACATCCACGTGAGCGTCGAGGTCCCAACCCTGCCCAGGATACCCACAGCTTCCTCCTTATGGCGAGGAGCATGGCCAGGATTGTGCCCAAATCCAAACCTGAGGTCCCTGAAGCTCAGTACACACCCCAAGGCCCTGGAGCTAGGCATAGTAAGCACTAATAAACTATCAAAATCAAAAGAAAGGGCTGAGGCTGGGGATATAGCTCAACTCCTGCCTGGCTAGGACAAGGTCTTGAGTTCCAATTCCTGGTGGGGGGGGGGGAGGAAGGAAAGAAAGAAACATCCGAAAGAAAGGGCTGGGATCCAGATGAAGCCAAACACACCAGTGCCCCCTGGGAGGGAGGGGGCAGGAGGCAGAGGAAAAGGAAAACCACCAGAACAAAACCAGAGGCCAAGCCACAAACTCAGCAACGCCTTCGGGCCCACAGAGAACTTCCTTTCCATCCGCTGCTGTCAGCAGCAGCTCCTACTCTGAGCTGGCAGGAGGGCAGGACCAGGATGATTTTTTTTTTTTTTCTTCTGTGGAACCAGGGATTAAACTCAGGCCCTTGCGCTTGCCAGGGAAGCACTTATTCCACTGAGCCATCTCCCCAGCCCCAGGACCAGGATGATTTGACCCAGACAGCGAGAACAAGGCCCGGAGTCTGTACCAGCTAAACTGGGACTGGAACCTGCCCTGGGCCTGTCCTGCCCACTGCCACTTGGCCTGTCTCAGGTCAGAGGCCTTCTGCCTCACCCAGTGGCCACCTGGATGCCCACTCCCACACGGTAGATGGCTCAGCCCCATGCCCATCCCGCCCTCCAGTAAGCACTTTCTGAACAGGCATGCCCACTAGGAGTGGCAGGGCCAGGCTCCGCACCAACAGACCACTCCAGGGTGAGCCAGAAGACAGCAGCGTGAGCATTCATGGGAAAGCTATGAGCACTCCTGGAGCACAGAACAGGGTGACTCCAAGACCCCAGGAAGGGTCTGTGAGCAAGGGATGCTAAGATGGGGTGGGCAGCTGGGGCACTAGGAAGAGTGCACAGGCCCAGAGGATGGAGGGGTACAGGCAAGGCGAGAACTTTCCAGCTCACTTGTGAGGGGTCACCTTCTATGCTTGGGGGGGGGGATAGGGGCAAGGGATGCAGTCTGGTTTGGCGAGGAGAACCCCCATGCAGGGCAGCTGATGCCTACCTTGTTCAGCCGCTGGATCTCCTTCTCCTGGTACTCGCGCTGCCTGGTGAGCGGGCTCAGCTGGTCCTGCAGGTTCTTGACCTTCTGGCGCAGCTCCTTGGCCTCGGCGGTCAGCTGCTCCTTGTCAGTCTGCAGGGAGCACATGAAGAGGGTAAGCAGAGTGCCTCCTCTGGACACCCACACTCCCAGCCCCACCTGGCTTGGCATGATTCCACCTCTCCTTCACCTGGCCACCACCTTCTATCACTTGTGCAAGGCGCTGGGTGGGAGATGTAGGCCTGCGCTTGAGAGGAGGCAGCTCTGCAGAGGAGGGCCTGCGCTCTTCACAGCTCCACGCTTACCTAAGCAGGCCCCGAAGCTGAGCACAGCCTTCTACCTGTGTGCACTTTCTACGTACAAGGCCAGTTTTCTCCAGCCTCACACAGGAGCCTCTTGTGACCCCTGGGAGGGAGGAGCTATGGTGACACCTACAGGCCTTTCGTCTCCAGCCTGGAGAGGACACGTGAGGATATGAGCACCACAGTGCTCCGCACACAATGCTCAGCACACAGTGCTCCTCCAGAGACAGACACACTGGGCTGCAGGGCCAGAGAAGAGCCCCAGGGCCGAGAGGCATCAGTGGAGGTGTCAGGGAAGGGTGCCCGCCCACCAGCTACGGAAAACGCTACGCTGGTGCATCTGGGAAGGGCACCAGACAGCACCCAGACGGCCCTCCATGCCACAGAAACGGTGTCCAAACAGGAAGGCGCTGCTGGGACCCGGGCTGTGCAGCTGCCACTCCCTCTTCCATATGACAGCAGTACAAAACAGTCTGGAGAGCCTAGGCCACTCCACCCCACTGGCTGTCCTGTGTACAGGAGTTAAAAAGCACCCTAGGATGCAGAGGGCCCAACTGGGGTGGGACCGAGTCGGTGAGATATTCCTGGCCACCTTTCACTTTATTGGCTGGTGTTAGCATTTTATAAGGACATACACCACATGGCAGAAGAGAAAACTCTGTCAAGGGTCTGCCAGCTTGTGCGAGCGAGTCAATATTCCCACACTGTGGGCAGCTGGAGATGGCATCAGCCTGAGGCCTGAACAGGCGGTGTTGCTGTGGACCCCCCTCCCCCCGAGGCGGCTCTGGGGTACAGCAAGGCCTCTCTCTCTCACAGTTGTCTGGGGAAAGTGTTCTCTCAGCCATCAGAGCCTAGGGCTCCTCAGCCAAGTGGGGAAAGCTGTGCCCAGGCTCCTCCCAGAACCTCAGACACAGCTGAGTGCCGGCAGGGTGCTGGCAGTCCCTAGCTAACTCAAGGACTCTCGAATGCGGTCCACGTGGACTGCATCCACCTGTAAGCCAGGCGGAGGCCCACACACGCTCCCTTGGAAGCAGTCACAGTGACGTCACAACCTAAGGGTCAGGAAGCCACACGGCCTTGCCTCTTGGCCCTGCACCAGGATCCTGAAGGGCCTTGGCTGGCAGAGCAGGAGCCATGTCTTCACGGTCCCTCTGCTGACGTGCCCAAACTCAGTCTGGTGTTCCTTATGCCCACACTCTGGTGCCTGTGACCTCCTCCTAGCACGTAACACAGGCTCCCCTATTTGCCTCTACTCAGCCACTGGGCGTCTGCTTCCTCCCAGCCAGGGGAGGCTGGACGGTTCCTAGACACTGCATCTCTAGGCCCGGCCCAGGGTGGTCAGAGCTGCATGGTCTCAGCCCCGACCCCCTGCCATGAACCTGCACAGGCCCACCCCACCGAGGGTCTCCCCCACCGAAGGGCCTCTCAGTGTGGTAACAGATCCTCCTCAGGGCTCCAAGATTTTCACTACACATACAACTCTTTGGAATGAAAACAAAATCTGAAAAACAATAGCTAATCCAGCCTCTCTGATTTGCAAAACAGAAACTGAGGTACAAGGAAGGACAGGGCCCTGCCCACGGGCAGCAGCTCTGGCTCGTGAGGAGGAGTGGCCAGAGCAGCGGGCCTGGGCCACACTTGCCTCCTCCATCTCAATCTTGGACTTGGCCAGCAGGAGCTTGCGGTCGAAGTCGCGCTGCTTCTGCTCCCGCTCGGCCTCCAGTGCAGCCACCTGCTTCTGCAGCTCTGCCAGCTTCTGGCGCAGCTCGGTGATCTAGGTTGAGGCCACAGGAGGACAGTGAGGGAAGGGGTGCAGATGCTGGGGACCCGGGCCACGTTTGCCTGCACTCTCACAACTGTCACCCAGCTTTTCCTCTGGGTCGCCATGGGCTCAGCTCAGCCTCCCTGAAAGGCTCTAAGCCACCCAGACGGAAGCAGCCAAATGCAGACAGCCTTCGGTCCCAGCCAGGAAGCGCCATGGTACCTTCTGCTCATACTGCTGCTTCATGGACCGGAAGTGCTGGTCCCACTGCTTGTTCACCTCCAGCAGCTGTGGGAGAGATGGGTTACGAGCGGGGGAGGACAACGAGCGCCAATTCCACGTTCCCATATGCCAGCCTCCCGAAGTGCATGCAGAGTATGGACAGGGGCTGCAGACACGCCCTGCCAGCATGCCTCCAAGTGCTTCCCACCCTGGCCAGGGCAGCAGGGTGCATGCTGTGCCAACAACCAACTGCTGGACAGCGCGGGAGCACAGGTCTCCCTGGGCAATCGGGGGACTGCGTGTCCAAACATCCCTGTATCACCAAAGAGAGGTGCAGGCTTTGCCCTCGGCCTGGGTGCACTGTGCTAGGTGAGGCCAGGCAGGCAAGGAGAGGGGAGGGCTGGAATTCTGGAGCACCTCATCCCAACCCCTGAAACCTATGTGCCATCACCTCTCCTGCCGTCCAGTTTCCAGAGGGGCCCTCTGACCCTCCTCCCCCCAGCTCTAGGTCTCAGTGACACTGTGGGCAGGTCAAGTGAGGACAGCAGGCCTCTGTCTGCAGGGTCCACCCCCAACCCCACTCCAGCTACCGACCTCCATGCGCTGCTGCTCCAGCATCTTCACCTTCTTCTCGACTGTACCCAGGGCCCCCACTGCTGGGGCCCTGCCTGCCATCACACCAGCCTAAGAAGAAACAGCGGGCGTCACCAGAGCCTCCAAGCAAGCTCACCACACACATCCTATCTCTCCTGCCTTAGCACACATGACCTGTCTTAACTCTGCCAACCCCTTCTAGAAGACCACCCTCTCGGGAGGGTAGGGAACTGTGGCACCAGAGGTGCCCAGGCTCCCTCCTCCTGTGCAGACTCCACTCCAGGCCCCACTGGCCAGACACTTCTGCCTACATCCTTATGGCCCAGAGTCACACATTAAGTAGATGGGTATGCCCTTGCACGCCTGTTATCCCAGCTCTTCGGAGGCTGAGGCAAGAGGATGGCTGTGAGTTGGTCAGGCTCAGCTACATAGTGAGTTCAAGGGCAGCCTCAAATGCATAGGAAGAGCCTGTCTCAAAAAGCAAAAAAACAGAAAATAAAATGTTACATATTTTTTGAAGTTTCTTCAAGTTTTTAACAAAGTTCAAGTTTTGCAAAAGCATTTACTCAAAAATCATTTTTAGAATGAGATGAAATATGTGTGTGGCTGTATGGCTGATACATACGCGTAACTTCCTTAGTTTTGTCCTCCAGAAAGGCCTATAGCAGGGACACCCCAGTAGCAGGGACACACCTAGTGCCCACAGATTTTTGTTTTGAGACTGGGTCTTTTATGTAGTCCAGGCTGTCCTCAAACTCAGTGATCCTCTTGGCTTAGCCTCCCAAGTGCTGAATCCACAGCTTGGATTCTAAGCACCATTTTTAATTTTTTTTGAATTTATTTTTGGCGGAAACGGGGATTGAACTCAGACCCTTACACTTGCCAGGCAAGCACTTATTCTACTGAGCCTCCTCACTGGCCCCTTAAATACCATTTTTTAATAGGAAGAAACTGGACTCCTTTGAGAACTGGTTAATTCTAGAGGTAAGGCAGAGAAAAAGTGACTTCAGAGCACAGTGTAGTACAAGAGATGAAGAAAGGTATAAGGACGATGAATAAAAGGAATAAGAACAAAGGAGCATGGAAGACAATGCCAAAGTGTTTCCCAGGCCAAAGCTTAAGAATTCCAACAGGGGCAAGGGAGACAGGCGGGGTCTAAGTGCCTGCCTGGCAAGAGCAAGGACCCAGGTTCACTCCCTGGTACCACATGCTGTGCTGGTCCCAGATGGGCCTACAATCCCAGCCCTGGGAAGGCTGAGACAGGAGGGTCACTACGAGTCTGAGTTGCATAGCAAGACCCTGTACCAAAGAAATACATAAAGAAATAATTTTTTTAAAAATTCTGGTTTTCTTAGTTTATAAACCAAGATATAAAATAGCTCTGATTCCGTAACGATACAACAGCTCACTCACATTATCTTTACAGAAGATTTTCAACTAACACGCGACATGATGACAAAGTAACGCAACGTCATCTTCAGACCACCACAGTAATAAAGGCGGTGCTGAGGCTCATCACCAGGCTCTAAAATTCGTGAAAACTGAAAACTGAAGGAGAAACAGGATGTTTGCCTGGCTCTCAAATTTCTCCTTAAAAACATTTGTTAAAACCAGGCATGGTGCACACTTCTGCAGTCCCAGCTACTTGAGAGGCAGAGACAGGAAGACTGAGAACGGCACCAGACCGTGAGCCTCAGCGCTGAGACCATTCTGGCGTGCTGGCGACGCAGCTCCCGGGTTCAGCACCTGCCCACACCTGCCCGGCACATTTCAGGCCCTGGGGCAGATGCGAGGCCCGGGAGGGAACGCTAAACCACAAAGAGGCGAGATGAAAAATGAGGCGTGTAGTCGCTGACCACGGCACAACTTGAGAGACCCTTAACCAAGCACCCAAGCTGCCACAGAGTCCAACACAGGCCAGGCAGCCCTGCCCCGGGCCCACGGAGACCCTGGCCCAAGCCCATGAGCACAGCCCACGGGTGTCAAGGTCACGAGAGTAAGGAACAGCTGGGACTTGTCACAGCGGCAGGAGACCAAGATGGGACAGCCTGACAGACCGGGCCCGCAAGCTGTATGTACGCTGACATTCACGGAGCTCACAGGAGGGCAGCTAGGAACTGAACTCTGCACTATTTTTTTTTTACATTTAAAATTAACTCAATTGGGCTGGTGAGATGGCTCAGTGGTCTAAAGCACCTACTTAGAACAAACTAAGCTAAGCAAAGCACAGGGACCGCGGTTCAATCCCCAGCACCACATGCCAGCCAGCCCCGCCCCCTGGTGGGCTGAGCTGGCCACACACACACAAAATACATAAATAAATAAAAATTTTAAAAAATAATAATAATAAATAAATAAAATTAACTCAATAGAGTTTTAAGTTAAATAAAGTAGAAAATGTAGTTAACATTTTAAAGTTAAATAAATAAACAGCACAGAACAATGGTAGAATAGCAACTGAGCCTCCCTGTATCCCCAGGTCCCATTCTGACCCTCGGCCAGAGATGAGACAGAGGTGGTGTCCACATGTCCACGGGACTGCGACACGAAGGCCACCCCAACCCCACTGGTGCTGGAGTCACAGGCCATGCTGGCCCGCATGCCCTCCCCACCACGCCTTCCCTGGGCTGCACGCACCCTTACAGGGTGAGGCCCGTATGTACACCACAACAGCAGAGCACAAGGGAAGGGAGCCCGCAGGCTCCTGCTGTGAACTGTACTTAGCCACAGGTCACTGCTACAGAGAAGGGAGAGGAAGGCAAGCGTGGTCCTCAGGGTCCTGGGTGGCGTACCCGGAACCGCCACGGAAGAGTCCACTTGGAGAGTGAGAGCGCCAGAGGCCGCAGACCTGACGGCTGGCACCAGTCTGCCCACTTATGACAATGCACTGTAACCCTGTATACTCCCAAGAGCCTTCTGAGGGAGACGTTACAGAGGAGGAAACTGAAGCCCAGAGAGTTTATGGGACTTGCCCAAGGCTGAGGTGTGGGCAAGAGTGGGAGCAGGGCATGGGGACACACAGCTCATGGCCTGGCCAGCACAGATGTCCAGGTGAGGCAGCTCAAAGACCATGGAGGTTGGCACAGTCCTGAGCCTCCTTCGCAAGGGGCACGTGGAAGAAGAGAGGGCTGTTTCCCACGGTAGCTAGGCCTGCCTGATAGCAGGTGCCACAGGCATTTCCACACCTTTCACAGCTGTGGACTGGGGGAAGTGGCCCGGGCCTGGCCACCTAGCACAAATCGTGGAGCAGCCCAAGGATTGCAGATGTGCCAGGCCTGAGTACATGTCACAGAGCCACACAGAAGCACATTATGAAGGTAACTATGCCCTACTGGCAGCTATCAAACCTCACTGAAGAGCGAAAAGCATGTTGGCAAAGAGGTGGGCCTTGTGGGGCAGGAAGCCTGGGAAAGGGGCACTGGGACCTGCCAGAGAGCCAGGACTGGGCCTGGAGGGAGCAGCAGCAAACAGGCCATGCTGGGCACCACTGGGCTATACCGACACTGGCCAGTGCCCCCGTCTCCACTGCAGGGGCTCACAACCTGACACCCCAATTGTTTCTCTGGATGTTGGGCTGACTTTTGGAAGCCACTGACTGACAAATGAGTATGATTAGGGAATATACTGACTGAGCAAGACTTCGCACCACCCCGCCACCTTCTAGAAGCCCTGGTCAAGTGACCGGCAGCTTTTTAGCCAGGAGAGAGCCTTGGGGCCACAGAGCCAGGGAATGGGGTGTTGCACCAGGCTGCAGTCAGAGCACAGGCTGAGGAGGAGGCAGGAGGCCAGTGTGGACCAAGTAGGTGAGCCTGCGATCAGCGTCACTGCACAGGAGGCTGCAGCTCGCCAGTGACGGGGCGGGTGGGGGCTGGGAGGGAACGTCCAACCTGTGCCTGCTGCTGCTGCTGCTGCTGCTGCACTGCCACCGCCTTCTCACTGGCACCCTCCGTCTTCGATGAGGCTGGCTGTCCACAGGTTCCCTCTCTGCTGCTGCTCATCAATAACTTCTTAAGCTCCATGTTTTCCACCCTGGGTTGGAGGTAAGTGTAGCAGTCAGGGTACTGGCCTTGAGATGGAGCCCGCAGGCCGCAAACCTGTGCTGTGGGAGCTGTTGGGAGTGCGGGGCACAGTGAGCCTGGGCCAGTGTGTGCAGGTGTCGGAAGAGCGGGTGGCCTGCAGCGGCCCAGAGGCATCTGGGGCACAACAGAGGACCCCTCACGTGTTGGGAGAGCTCCACATCATCCAAACCAGCCCTTGGGAGCCTTGGAGTGCACCCCAGTGGAAGCTTCACAGGCCCACCTGGGGAGCAGGCCAGAGCCTGAGGTGCCCTTTATCAGGGAAAGAGCCAGCCCCAGGCTCAGCACCAGCAATGATGCCTTGCCACAGCTATTACTGTCCTTTTATTCTCACCATATTTATTCCAGAGTTACCCTTTAATTAAGTATCAGTAATGCTGTTTTCTATCTATTCTAGTTAAAGCTTCTTTTTTTTTTTTTGTGGAACTGGGGATTGAACTCAGGCCCTTGTGCTTGACAGGGAAGTGCTTATTCTACTGAGCCATCTCCCCGGCCCCTAAAGCTTCTTTAGAATAGTTTTCAGTTAAAATTGAGTGACCTTAAAAAAAAAAAAAAGAATGACCTTAAGTATATAATAAGATCAGTTACAGGATGAAAGAGGCGATGTGGACTCAGGCATGGCTGAAACATGGAAAACATTTCTTAAACGTTCCATTTTCTGTGGCCACATGTGTCTCCACTCAGACGGACCAGGAAGGAAGAAGCTTCCCTATTAGGTGGCTGACGACCTAGCTTCTCACCTTCTAAAGCACGAGTCTTTGCCTCAGTCTGGCCTTCTGCACCCACGGATGGAGTTAATGTGGCTACAAAACCTCCACAACTCTGTCAACCCCAAAAAATGCAGATGCACTGACCCTGGGGCTCGCTCACACATCCCTGTGGCCAAGCAGAAGACTATATGGGCCTGTGAAACCAATCCAGATGGATTTCTGCTCGGGGGTTCAGGAAAATCCGAGCATAGGAGGTAGGAGGCTAACCGCCAGGGGGAAGCAATGTCCTGGGCGGGGCCCAACAGCCACTAGACAGCTGCATGGGCTGAGGCTGCAAGTCCCCAGGGGGAGGCAACGTGTGCAACCTTCCCCCCCCCCCCAAGCCTCACCACACTGTGTTCACAGATGTTCCCAAAGGTATTCAAAGGAACAGAGGAAATACCAAAAGAGCCAAGGAAAGAAACCCGGGGGCCAAAGGGCTCTGAGCGCAGGTCCTCTGGCCAGGCGCGGTGTAAACCCCTCCCAGCTCCCACCCGCCCCACTGCTGCCCTCTGCCTGAGGCTGTGCATACCGCAGTCTCTCGGCAGCCTGATCCCGCTGCTCCAGGCCCTTGTCCAGCTTGGCCTTCAGTAACTCGTTCTCCTTCCGAAGCTGCTCGCACAGGGTCTGTGGAGTAGAGGGAGTAAGCAAAGGGTGCACCCTTCCCCGGGTGGTGCTTACAGCTAGCCCAGGCCTGAGCCCTCACCCGTCTGTCTGGACAACCTCACCAGGGCCCCTGTTGGCTCCTCTTTGGGAGCAGGAGGTCCATAGGCCTGCAGCCTCCAGTCACAGCTACACCTTCCCTTCCCACCTAGGCCTAGCTGCTCTTCCTCCAGCCTGCCCATTATGCAGTCTCTTCAAGGTGGAGGATTCCCCTGCAACCTGTCTACCATCCTCGCCTGCAGGCCCAGGCTCAGTGGCCCACCCTTTAAATTCCTTCTTGCTCCCACCCACTCCCTCACTGACTGTGTACACAGCAGCCTGGAGCCCTAGGCACAGGTGTGTCCAGAGGCCTGTGAGGAGCCACTAGAGATGGGCAAGGCTGGGCGTGGGTGGAGGACATGACCCGGGGCACCTCCTCATCAAGCTCTCACCGGGTGGCCCACATGTCACTCCTGGCATGGCCTCCACAACACGGGGACAGCTGCTCCTTTCCTGTCCCTCTTCAGGGTTGCTGAGTGAGACCGTCAGGGTGAGGGCCTCCTCTGCCACGGGGGAGCTAAACGTGGTGTGGAAGGACGTAAGGTGCCTGGCAATGCTGCCATGCTCAGCGCAGCTAGCTGGCTGTCGAGACAATTTCCTCGGGGCCTCAGAACTCCCCAAAGCTAAGTAATTCATCTGTATTATATTTCCTTCCTTCTCTCTCTCTCTCTCTCTCTCTCTCTCTCTCTCTCTCTCTCTTCTTTGCAGTACCACCGGGGATTGAACTCAGGACCCTGTACTTGCCTGGCAAGCACTTATTCTACTGAGCTATCTCCCTGGCCCTTCATCTGTATTTTCTTTTTTTTTTTTGGTGGAACCAGGGACTGAACTCAGGCCCTTGCACTTGCCAGGTAAGCGCTTATTGTACTTAGCCACCTCCCCGGCCCCTTCATCTGTATTTTTTTTTTTTTTTTAATGTGTGTGTGTGGGGGGGGGGGCAGCTCAGCCCACCAGGGGGCGGGGCTGGCTGGCATGTGGTGCTGGGGGATTGAACCGCGGTCCCTGTGCTTTGCTAAGCTTGTTCTAAGTAGGTGCTTTAGACCACTGAGCCATCTCACCAGCCCCTCATCTGTATTTTAAAGGTACAGACTCCAGGTGAAATAATATTTGTGAAGTTCTACCACTAGTAATAATCACCATAAGGCTGGGTGTGGTAGTGCACACCCATAATCCCAGCTACTTGGGAGGCTAAGCAGGAGGATCTTGAGTCTGAGGCCAGCCTAGGCAATTTAGTGAGACTCTGATTGAAAATAAAAAATTAAAAAGGGCTACTCAGTGCTAAGAGCATCCCTGGGCTTGATCTCCAGTATCCCCCTCATCACACACAAACAATGAGAAAGAAAAAAGAACCTTCACCCTTAGAATTACACTCCACTAGCAGCCCCCAGCCTCTGTCCTCTGTGAGTAAAGAGCTGGGCAAACTGTCTCATTGCTATTTGTTTCTCAATAAAATTATGGGGAAAAAATTAAAAAAGCCGGGAAGGCAGTAGCAGAACCTGCAGGTCAGCCAGTCCTCGAGCTCCTCCAGGCCAGAGACCAGAGATGAGGGCTCTCAGGGAAGGGCCCTCACACCCCACACACCAGACTCCCTACAGCAGGATGTGGCTATGTGATTCTGGCCACTGCAGGGAGTGAAAATGGCACTGCCACTTCCAGGCTGGCTGCAGTCCATCCCTAGGTCTCATCACGTATGACCAGAGCTAAAGGGAAGCCTGGTATGCATGATGCAGCCTGTGTCCAAGAACTGTGAGGGGCAGAAAACAAGTCCTGCTGCCCAGGACAAAAGGGCACTTCCACCAGGTCACCCAAGGCCTGCAGAGGCACTGGCTCACTCTCTGAAGGCCAAGTCTGTGTTGGCTGACTCAGGAGAGAGCCCTGCTCTACAGGCAGCTGCATGGAGCAAGGCTGAGGCCAAGGAGATGGAACACGGTGGCTCCCGGCTCCCCGGTGCCTGGCTGCTGGTCCTCTGCTGTACCAGGCATATGAAAATGTTTGCTGACTTATACCAACAAACAAATCAGTGAGTGAATGAATAAGAAATTGGATTAACTCACTTCCACCCACAATCTGTGACACATGAGTGAAGCCTCCCAGAAATAGAGCATCTGCTTGGGTCACTCAGGGGAGGCCAACAAGAGGCCTTGCTTGCTGCCCCCACCAGGCCAGGGGGCTGTTCCCTGAGGCTGCTGATGAAATGTCTGGTGCACGCACTGGGGAGCCAGTGGACAGGACCCCAGAGTCACTGAGGCCATCATCTCTGCCAAGAGGCCGCAGGAGGGTCTTCTGTCTCTTTGCTCCTTTCGTTCACTCCTGTGCCAAGTGCATGCTGAGTGTGCGTGCTGGGTTACCATGGTGACCACAGCAGCTGAGGGACCTGCCCACCTCATGAAGCTTGTGTACCAGCAGGGAGCGGAAGAGAAAAAAGTGAGGAAGTAAACTACCCAATAAAATAAAACCACTGCCAAATGTGGCAGCAGCTAGGAGGGGGCAGGCAGCAGCCTCATCAAAAGCTGAGAGCTCAGCAAGGCCCAACAGGAGGCCCAGGTTCCCTTTCCACCTCAGCCCAACGCTACTGCTCAGAGCAATCTCAGCCTGCACCGTGCCGGCCTCCCCTGCCACCCTGGGCCTGGACCCCAAGGCTCCGAGGCACGAGGGATCCCCACCCTCAGCCTGCCTACTACATGCCCACCTCTCCCACCAAGGTGGAAGAGTGTCAGTGGAAAGGTGTCCTATGTGCCCCTCTGTCCCCTCTCTCCCCATAGGCCACCCTCCAGCCTGGACATACTCAGCTCCTGTCAACCTCTCCTGCCCCATCTCATCCCTCAACTGGGCACTGCAAAGTCTGTGACATGAGCTTAGGGACCAGCAGCAGGTGAGGAAGGAGGGCCTAGCAAGGACCAGAGGGCCTTCAAGCTGTGGTTCTGTCACTATGGTCACAGGGCCTGTGGGGTGAGGTTAGGTGGCTCTTTCCCGCCTTCAGAGCGCAAGGCCAAGCACCCTACCCAGGGAAGGCACCGTTCTCAGGGCACCTACCAGTGAACTGCCCCTGCTCTTGCTATGGCCTTGTCTGACTAGGCTTCCTGGGTGTCGCCTTGTCTAGCACAGTGAATGCTGAGGAAGGAATCTCACCTCTGTCACTGCGAGGGACAGTGGGCGACAGGAAGGATGAGTGACAGGCAGAGAGCAATAAAGAACTAAGGACCACGTACGTCTAAGGCCTGGCTCGGCACAGCAAGGCAGCCTGCCTACTCCTGCTGCACAGGAAGCTTTTAGAGAATCCCCTCAGGGAGGCGGCTGGGATGCTGATTAAAAACATGGGCTCTGGTCAGACTGGCAGTACTGGGATGTAAGCAGAGACCCTCCACACGGAGCTGCACCCTCAGCCATTTGTCAGGTCTTTGAGATAGGGTGCTGCCAAGCTGAACCACCCAAGCTGGGCCTGACCTTCTGATCCTCCTGCCTCGGCCCTCAGAGTGCTGGGACTATGTGTGCCACCACGCCTGGCTAAGAACATAAGCTTCAGAACAGACGAGGTGAGGCCCCAGCCCTAGCTCCACTGGCCAGCTGGGCGGCCTGGGCCAGAAGTGCCACTTCTTGCGGGCTGTCTCTGTGTGGCAGGGCAGGACCAGCTCCTCCTCAGGACAGAGAGCCTTTGCTCCTGTCCTTCCCTTGGCACAGAAGGGCCAGGCAGGGTGACCTGGAGAGGCGCGCTGCCCTCTCCGGGCTTCCCACTTTCTTCCCTGTCCTCCCACTGTCCCACCACTTTCTCAGGGCTCCCCCTGCCTGCCATCTGAACAGAAAGCTTGACGTCTGCCTACAGCACAGGCCCCAGAGGCCCCAGCACCCCAGGACTCCTGAAAAGCTGGCGGGGACCAGCAGGCTCACCTGTAGGATGGAGGTGCGCTGCTCATTCTTGTGCACCTTGGAAGCCAGCCGGTTGAACTCCAGCGCCATGCGGCCCAGGTGGGTGAAGAGCTGGCTGTGGTCGGGCTCCTCAGCACACACGCTCAGGGTGGTCTCCAGGCGCTGCAGGTGCTGCATCAGGTTGCCATCCTCGCAGGGCAGGGGGCCCAGCTCCTGGCGGGGGAGGGGACACCCCTGGTCTGCACCTAGGCCAGTCTCTCACTGCTTCCCCTTTCCTCATGACTCAGTTTCCCCTTGGCCTCAGCACTGCTCTGGGAAATTCTCTAGTTCCACAGGTTCCGTGTCTAGGGCTAACTCACAGGGCAGGACCCACGCCTCCCAGGCCACCAGCTGGCTGCACACACCAGGGCCACCTTGTTCCCCCACACTGGGCCCTGGTGAGGCCTCGGCATCCGCCTCAGAGGACGCTCACAACGTCCCTCCATCCCACCTCCCAGGGGCTCCTGTTGAGGAGGGAGCTTCGCAGAGCAGCAGTCCCCAAGTGCACACCCTGCTTGCTCAACTCAAGGAGCCTCCTCCAAGGCGCATGATGCCCCCAGGAAGACCCAAACAATCCCTCCTGTTCAAGGGCCCCAACTTCCTGCAGGCTGACAATCACAGCTCTAGCTACTTCACAATCCCTCCTAGTGAGCACATGCGAAGTGGAACACAACTGGGCAAGCAGTCCATCTCCCCATCTGCTCTCCTGAGCACTCACTGGATGTGCCCACGCCAGCTGGGCCCACACCAGAACCTTCCCACCGACCACACTAGCCTGGCTTCCCACAGCAGCAGGTGGCTCAGCGCTGGCCTTCCACTGTCCCTGCCTGAGGCCTGCAGCAGGTTCGGGGCTTCCCTCCCACAGCTTCCTCTCTACCTCTCCAAGTCCTGCTTCTGTGTCCCCACCCTACCCACACATTAGCTCTTCCAAAAACAGATGCAGGAATTACAGGACATGCCAGCTACAGGGACCCCAGGGCTTGTGCTGGAAACCAAGGCACCAACAGGAGGCTTTGTCATAGCTGCCCAGGGAGTCAGCCGCACAGCTCGGTTCCTGACCGCGGTCTGTGCTCCAGCTTGCTGACACCCTCTCCTCTCCCCCACCCCCGTGAACTCGAGTCCACACTGGAAGCAACTGGGCATTCAGCGAACGCCTATTTCATGTTGCCAGCCCTGCAGTGAAGCTGAGGCACCACTCTCCCCAACTCTCCGCAAGGGTCTAAAGGGGCCAGCATGGCTTCCTTTCCTGAAGGCTCATGAGGCTTTCTCTGCCTTCCAGGGCAGGAGGAAGGCACATCTTGGCTCAGCATGGATACATGCACCACAGGGCGAGTGACAGACATGCTACAGGAGATGAAGTGATTACCCACACGACACTCAGGTTAGGCCACATACTACTAGCATCACATTCAGTTACAAAGACTCCCAGTCAGAAAGCGGGAGGAGGAAGGGGAGCAGGAGGCAAGAATCTCCTAGACTGTTCTCCATGGCTCTCCTTTTCTCTAAGGAGAGAAAAGGGAAAGACAGTGTTGGGATACAGGCAGCCAAGTGGCACAGAATGAAGACACCAGGAAGCCATCTCAGAGATGAAGGGCTGTATGCACACAGAGGGGGCACATGAGTGCCAACAGAGGTCAGCCTGCAACCCAAAGGCCTGCATGCCTGCCTCCGTGGCCCTTCTACGTCCCCACGGTGGACCCCACAAACCCACAGGGCTGAGGCTCACTGCAGAGTGCCTAGGTTTTCACAAAGCCGGGTGCTGTGTGGCCCCAGTCAGGGAAGTCACTAGCCCAGGGATTTGCATATGAAAGCAAGAAGCAGCTGGCCACTAAGGGCCCCCATGTGACTCCAGGGTCCCCAAGGTATGTGAGAGATCCCTGCCTCTCACAAAGCGGCAGCTGACACAGCAGAGGAGAAACAGCAGGATATGTTCGGGTGTCCATCCACTCACCACTGAGTTCCTGGGGTGGCTGCCACTGTCTGCTGGAGAACTGTGCTCCTCGGTAGGGACCACTTCAAATTCAGAGGATGTGCCCTGGAGAGAAGTTGGGGGCTGTTCAAGAGGGTACGCTGGGCCCTCTTCTCAGAGCCCATCCTGAGAGCAGCAGGAGTGGGGCGTGACAAGACTCTCCGCAGGACCGGTTCCACAGCAGGGGCCCACCAGCCAAGCTCCCAGGCTACTCTTGGCAGCTCCCAACAAGCTGCTGTGCCTCGGGCATGGCCAGTTTCCCAGAACAGGGACACTGGGCAGCTGACCGTGGGCTGCTGGCACTTTGGAGTTACCTTCAATTGTGTTTGCAGCGCTGAGGGCTGAATGCAGGCTTCGCACATGACAGTGAGTGCTCTACCACTTCCCAGCATTCCCAGCCTTTCCAATCTGTTTTACGACAGCATCTGGGGTTACAGGTATGGGCCACCATGCTCAGCTGTGATTACACTTTTTAAGGCACTGTACTTTTTTTTTTTTTGGCGGGGGGGAGTACCAGGGATTGAACTTTGTGTTTTCCAGGCAGGCACTTATGCTGCTGAGCTATCTCCCAGGCCCAAGGCACTGTACTTTTAAAATGTGCTTATGAGCTTTACTAATTCTCAGTCACCTGTGGAAAGGGCTGGAAGGCGGCACTTGTGGAATGCCTAAGGGAACAGAGGCCACACAGATGGTGCTGAAGTGGGGACTGGACCCCAGACTGCAGAGCCAGCCATGGCATGGGAGCTCTCTGCTCACCCATATGACTCTGACAGCTTGAGGTGACACAGGTAACATCTGCTACTGTGACCACCAGACACGCTCATGTGCCAACATGCCAAGCCAGTCTCAGAGACTTCTATGGAATGGACTGATCCAAGTGCCAAGACAGCTTGACAAATACAGAGGCTTCCAGAAGTCACTCAGCCCCGCAGTGACCATGCAACCCCTTGGCCATTCTGAGCAGACTCCCTGCATGCTCGCCGCAGTCCAACTGGACCTCCACTGGCTCTAGGCGTCCCATGAAACCTGGCTATAAAGCCCATTTCACACAGGGCGTCCAACTGTACACCTGTCATCCCAGCACTGGGGAGGCTGAGGTAGAGGATCCCCTTGAGTTCAAGACCAGCCTGGGTTACACAGTGAGACTCAGCAGGCCCTTTCAGTGTTTCCTTGTCCTGAGCCAGAGCAGGACAGACAGAAGAAGCCACGCAGAGCCAACCGAGCCTCACAACCACAACAATCACAACCACATGTCCTGTCTGAACCCTGCCAGGGTCCTCCCTATCCTGGCATAGTCCCACCACCTGTGAAGCTCAACAAAGGCCTCTGTTCCCCAAACCTGATCTTTAGGATGAACATGCTAAGCTACTAAATCCCTGAGTATCTTCCAACCCTACAGTACCAGCCAACCTTCTCAGACCTGCAAAGGTAAAATTTTCTTTTCCTTTTCTTGTTGGCACCAGGAAATGAACTCAGGACCTTGTGCTTGCCAGACAAGCACTACGCTTTTGAGCTATATCCCTGGTCCTCTTTTTTGTTTTTTTGAGATACAGTCTCGCCATGAAGTGCAGGCCGACTTTGAACTCACTATGTAGGCCAGGCTGGCCTCCAACTTGCAGCGATCTTCCTGCCTGTGCTTCCCAAGTCCTGGGAATACGGTGTGCACCACCATGCCCAGCTGCGGGTAACTCTTGGGACTCAAGTCCCATGTCACAGGTCCACTTTCCTAGCACTGAACACAGTCAGTGTGTACTTTGCTAAGTACTTTGTTATGAAACCTTGTAAAACAAATTTATCCCACACCAATTCTTTTTTTTCCACACTTTTTTTTTTTTTTTTGGTGGTGCCGGGGATAATTTTTTTTTTTTTTTTTTTTTTTGACCAGTTCAGGCTACTTTAAGGGGGGGTATGGTCTGGCATGTGGTGCTGGGGACTGAACTGCAGTCCCCTGCGCCTGCCTGAGTTTGCCCAAATAGGCGCTTTAAACAACTGAACTAACCTGCAAGCCCCCTCCATACCCATTCTCCCTAATGATGCCTCACAGGCTTGAGACTGACTCGCCCCACACCTCCAGGAGCTGGGATGCCATCTCTCCAACCCGTTTTTCATATTTTTATCTCCATAGGATATGAAGTCAGGCAAACTCCAGCCATGGCTCCAAATGCAACTTACGCTGGGTGGAGGCTTCGGGGGTGGTGTGGACTCATCGCTCGGATGTACAGGCGCAGGGAGTGGTGCAGGGACACTTGGGTCCTTTCCTGGAAAAGCCAACAGGTTGCAGATGAAAACACTGGAAAAGGGAGAGGCCTGGATGGCGGCCCTTAGGACAATCATGAACTGGGTGCTCTGAGTGTCTGTAGGAGCTGGGAACCAGGGTAGGTGGCTCTCTCAGGACTGAGTCTAGAGGTGGTGCCTGGGAGAGACTCCTTCCCAGGACCTGCTGAGGAGCCTACCACTCTGGGGCCTGCTTAGTCATGAGGACAACGATTTACAACAAAGAAGGTCTACCACTTTTCCTGGCACCATGCCATTTTAAAGTAAGGAAACAGGAAATGGAGGCTTTGCCCAATTGCTGACTGGCCCAGCCTCACAGTCTGCACTGCAAACTTGGGCCAAAATCAGCTGCTCCAGCATTACCTGGTGCTTTATGCCAGAAGCTTGAAGGCGCCTGTTTCACTTGGGGTACACTTGGAACCAGCAAGACTTGGGAAGGATGCTAGAGGGGATGCTGACCACAGCAGCTCAGTGGGCTTTGAGCCCCATCACTGCCCTCCACTTGGCCACACAGGACTGGGCTGGGCAGGGACAGCAAGGAGTCGCGGCAGGCCACAGCTGGGTCCCATACATGGCATATTTTCCTCCTCGTGCCTAGACTTTCCCTGGACTTAGGAGACAGGCAGCAGTAATGCACGTCTCTGACCCTTACCGCCACCCTTTCCTTGAACAGATAATGTCTGAAATATGCTGCAGCAGGCTAACAGACAAGCTAGGATTCTTCTCTGAGCTTTAGCTTCCCTATCTACAACACGCAGGGGGAGGGGCAGAGCCAAGAGCTGCCAACTGCTGTGCTCACTGAGGTGTGGAGCCACCCAGCACTCCAGCCTAGCAAGAGCTGCTCACTAAGTATCTGCTACAAGAGCAAAGGGCCTGGGCCGATGTCTCACGTGCACAGGTTATTGTGACTGATTATGTGTGCTGGGCCTCAGGAACACTAAGTCACTGGCCATTTTAATAAAACTCTGAAATCCTTCCAGATCTTCTGACTTTTCTGGGGGATTCTACAGCCAAAAACAGCCGGGGGAGGGGGGAATGCTAAGGATAAATGAGGGGGATGTGGGCTTCAGAGAGAAAAGGCACCTCCTGTGCAGGTCAAGGCAGCTGGGGTACAGGATGGCAGTCACCCTGCCTTCTCCTGTACCTGTGAGTTCAGCCAGGTGGTTGAAGGAGCCCAGGGAAGGAGAAGGCGGTGCCTCATTGTCCTTGACCAGCTCCTCTGCCTTCTGCCGGAGCCGGGATGCTTCCATCTGGGATTCTTCCAAAAGCTCCCCTGAAGAAACAAAGGGGGAAGGAGGAGCAGTGAGGACGCACTTAGCTCAGTGTGATGCTTCTTCTCATCCTGTGACCCTCGCCTCCCTCTGCCAGGCTTTCAAAGCCCAGGCCATGGACCTCACTATACCACTGCTTTGTGGCCCAGCTGGGACAGAGCTAGTGCTGGCCAACTATCAGAACCCAACTGGCGTGAGGAAGAGGACATGCAGTCAAGGATACAGGAATGGAAGCAGTCCATGGTCTCCTGACACCCTCTTCCTGCCTCAGGCCTCCATGCCTGGCCAGGGCACAGGAAGTCAGGGGCTCTCTAGGGCCTGCCCCATGATACCACAGAGTGGGCCAAAGCCCACCCAGAGTCAGGCCTACCTCATGGTGGAGCCCCTGAGAAGACCACCTAGCACTCTAGTCCCATTTTCCTTCTCTAACTGTACAATGGGCAATGTCACCACCCTCCAGTTAACATCCCATGCAGGTATCTGCCAAGTAAAAGAAAGCATCTGACCTCCAAACGCTGAGGCCAGAGGAGTGGCATCAGGGCAAAGGAAGAGTATTAGAAAGAGGGGGGAGAAGGTTCAAAGGCCTGGCATGTAGGAGATGGCATGTGTGTTGGTGTGTGGGGCCAATCTGGGTAGACAGTGGGGACAGGTTGAGCAAAGCCAGAAGAGAAACTGAGGGAGCAAATGCCACGCTGCTTCAGGCAAGCTCTGCTCCCTGTTCTATGTCTTTCTTGGCTGTCCTGGCAAGGCAGCTCTCCCCACTGGTCATGCCCTGAAGATGAGATGGTGCCAATTCCACACCCACAGCCCAGGCCTTTCAACCCTCTCCTTCCCATCCCGAGCATCTGCAAGGTCTGTTGAGTTGACAGGACATCAGAGCTGGAAATACTGTCAACATGCTACAGAAGCACACGCAGACATACCCACGGGGCAGGCCACATGGCCAGGAGGGACGAAGGGTGATCTGGGAAGAAGCCACCCACCACCAGCTGTGTTCTCCCATTACAGGCCAAAGGAGGGGTTCCCAGGCAGGGGTGGGTGCTGCTTTACCTAACATCTTTATCCCTTGCATTTTTTCCTTCAGCCGGGAATTCTCCTCCACTAGGCGCACAAGAGCTGCGGATGCCTCTCCTGGAGGTATGCTGCCCCCAGGGTCGTAGATCCGGTAGGGTCCTCTCCCTTCCATGAGGGTGGCTCAGCCCACCCAGCTGTAAGGACAACAGCAGTGCATCAGGGGCTGGCCAGGCATCAGGGCACTCCTTCTGGGGAAGCTCTCTCTGCCAGGGCCCAAGGCATCCACATGACTGAGAATGGAGCAGAGCATCTCAGGCTGTCTGATCACAGCACAGAGTTTTAGAAAGTGGGGGGAGAAGTTTCAAAGGCCTGGCATGCAGGAGATGGCCACAGACTGGATGCTCTCTTGGCTCCTATACCTGCTGCCAAAAAAAACAGTACTGTTCCTTCAGAGGCCTCACTACACGGCCTGCTCATCTGAGGCAGCAGGCAACTACAGGGGTGCAACATGCAGCACAGAAAGAACCTGGACTGGGAATCAGAAAACCTGGTTCACGTCCTAGCTTTACACCCGGAGGACAGGGATCCTGCATCCTCAGTGTCCCACACAGAACTACCTAGGAAGTCAATGCTTACCAAACTACTACGTGGCCGAAGCCATTAACGCACAGTAGGATGGGGGTGGGGGGGGGTCCTGACCTCTCTCTGATGAGAGAAAACAAGAAACAGGGGAACTTTACAGTGAAGGAGAAAAACCCTGACTAATACTTAGTGTACTGTCACCCTCCTTCTCTGGCATCAGCTCATGAGTAGTCTGCCCCTTTCAGTTCTAACGAACAGAAGAATTTCCCAACAAACACTATTTGTACAGCAAGTTTCTCTGTATTTATCTGTTCAGTTTCATCTACTTTATTTCATTTAAAATCATTCTGCAAAGTGGCTTGAGAATCCTGGTTCATAACCCAAAGAGAGAAACTCTCTTCCCCTTTGGGCATCCATTCAACTGGAGCTGGGTTCCAGGCTGGGCTCTGGGAAGTACTCCTTCCCGGGAGGCCAGGCTCAGACCTCAGCAGCGGGAGCCTGACCCTGCCCTGAGGACTCGTGCACAACCGCACCCTGCTGGCAGCCAGGCTCCCACAGCACACGTTCTCATGGAGCTCACACGCACTGGTAGAGGCAAAAAGGTGTTAGACAGCACAGGACTTCAGGGGGCAAAAAGCCTAACGACAAAAAATAAGCAGGAGAGATGAGGCAGGAGCTTTCACTTTAAAAGGAGAAGCAAGAAAGGGTGTCACAGCAAAGCAGCAGGGACGGCCATGGCACTGTCTGGAGGAGAACATTCCAGGTAGACTACAGCAAGGGCAAGCTGAGGCAGAACGCAGCCAGCCACCAGCTCTAGGACCAGCACGGACAGCTCACGATGTGCCCACCAGGAAACTCAGACGTGGGGAGGGGGCCCAAGTATCCCCGAGCCAAACTGTTAACCCCAAGGCAAAACCTGTCCTCCCTAGAAATCCCCAATGCCCTTTCAAACCCCAGCAGAGGCCACTGAGGGGAACGTGAAGCTGGGTGAATACCACCACCAGTGCATCAGGCAGTGCCGCCGGCATTCAGTGGCCTCTCTCCATGAAGCTGCGTGGCATCTGAGACACCCGAGCTCAGCCTCATTTCATAAGGGATACAGCGGGGCCCAGCCAGGTAATGAACTGCACCAAATAGGAAGCCAAGAGAACACAGCAGACACAAAGCCAGGGGGACCTGCCTAGCAGTGATGCTGAGGCTCTGTAATCCGCATCTGGCCAGGCCCAAGCTCCTTCCACAAGGCAGGCCTGAACGAGAGGGGTTTCCAGCTTGTCTGTAAGGCAGTCCCTGGCTATCGAGTAACCTCTGGCTCTTCCCTGGCCCTGCAGCTAAGAACAAAGGTTTTGCCAAGAGGTCCAAGGGATGGAAGGACTAGAAAGAAAAGTAAGACTCTGCTGATCAAGGCACCTCCCCTAAAGGCTAACAAGTGGACAAACACACACTGCAAGAGGCACCCATACCCTACCGGGCCCCACACGCACAGGACAGCTGCCCACATAGCACACAGAAGTCACCATTTTCAACTTCAAATGCCAACGTGATACAGCAGTACAGGATGGTACAGATGCATCCAGTGAAGGGCAGGGAAAGCACCTGACAGGACACAGGCACTGCCCCGAGCCTTGCTGCAGAGGAGGGGAGGGGAGGGCTGCGGCAGGGCCTTCTCTGCCAGCCTTTCTCCATACCCAGCAGGATGAGACAAGCGGTGCTGTGGCTGAGGACTCCCTGAGGCTGGGACATGCACCGCACATCTCCACATTGTGTTACCACAACAGGAGGGTGGATCACCCTTGAGAAGCGAACAAAGTTCACATTTGGGGAAACTGAGGGTCCATGGGTACTGAAGCATCTTGAAAGGTAAGTCGCCATGGGTGTCCTGCTCTTGTCAGGCTCCCAACAGACCTGTGTCAGCCAACAATCTGCAATGACAGGCACTGTTTTCAACTCCACGTCTGGCTTCCTCAGTAGATTAGAAGTCCTTGAGGGCACAACTTCACCCACCATGTAGGCCACACACTTCCAAGAGTAGCTCAGAAAATAGCCTCACTTCAACTCTAACTCACAGCAGGAAGACTGCGACCCTGGCCATGTCCTAACACTGAGAGAGAGCCTGACTGTGACCTTCAGCAGAGGCACCGTGGGCAGGCACGCACCTCCACGGGCCCATCAGGGAGGGCACAGCTAAGCTTCTTCGGACATGCCCAGATGTGAGAGCAAGTGACGGAGCAGGCTGCAGGTTCAGAACCTGACGCTCCCTCTGAGGCCTTCAAACCACATGATGTCCAGTCTGACTCTGCACTGGCGAGCCCAGGAAGCAAAGCACTATTGCCAGGACAGACTTCTGGGCAGGGATAGAAGAGACACAGGACAGAGAGGCTACTGGGAGAAAACTCCCTGCAGATCAGGGGCTGGCACAGGAGGGCCCGGACTCCCGAGGAAAAGACAGAGGAATGGGGGATTTCCAGTGCCTGCTGACCTCAGGCCCAGCTGGTCAGCAGCAGTTCCAGCAAGATCTGGGCAGACCGGAACTTTCCCTGTGGTGAGTGATGATGCAGTCACCTCTCCTGGAGAACTGTGCTCAGGATGACAGAGCCGGAGGGGATTGTCCCAGGATGAAACCAATTCCCATTACTGCATTTCCCCCCCCCCTGTGGTAGCGGGGATTGAACTCAGGACCCTGCAATTGCCAGGCAAGCACTTATTCTACTGAGCTAGCTCCCTGGGCAAAAGTTTATTTTTTTTTAAGTGTGTGTGTGTGTGTGCGCGCGCGCGTGCGCCCAGCTCAGCCCACCAGGGGGCGCGGCTGGCTGGCATGTGGGGCTGGGGGATTGAACCGCGGTCCCTGTGCTTTGCTGAGCTTGTTCTAAGTAGGTGCTTTAGACCACTGAGCCATCTCACCAGCCCCTGGGCAAAAGTTTAGAAGGATTTTTTTTTTCTTCTGACTCAGGAGTCCTTAAGGGCAGGGGGATCTGGGGACGGAACCACAGCATCCTGAGCCTGCCTGCTTTGTTTAAGCAGGCACTCACACAGCTGAGCTAATGGGCAGGCCCCAAGCCCCCATTACCAAGCAGGGAGGAGACATGCACAGAAATGGGTCAGTGAATGAAGGCCACGGGAGACCTCAGGGATGGCGTGCGTACCCTCTGCACCAGTGTATGCACAATGGAGCAGGCAGCACTGACCACTGGCAGCAGGAGTTGGGCATGAGTTCATTTGCTTCTCAACTGAGGCACAAGCAGAGCCCAGGGCAGGGAAAGCCAAAGTTATAAAAAGGCTGAAGGGTGCTGGGACCAGGCCCCGCTCTCTCCCCAGCCTGCCCACAGTGCCACTCTCCGTTTCCACTCCCGCCATCTTCCTGTGGGGTCTGGCTTGAGGCTCCAGGCACCCTGGTTTGTACCCACCTGTACCTAGAAGCCACATATCAACAGGTGAACCACCAGCACTGGGACAGCAGTCCCAAAACGGCTTTTTTTTTTTTTTTGCGGAACCAGGGATTGAACTCAGGCCTTTGTATTTGCCAGGGAAGTGCTTATTCTTCTGAGCCATCTCTTCGGCCCCCAAAACAGCTTTTTGTGAAGAGCAGCCAGCTCAGACCTTTCAACAGACATGGTGGCAGAGTGGGAGGGGGACCTTCCCAGAGCCTGCCCCAGTGAGGTTCGGGGGCTGCCCACCAGAACCAAAAGGGCCCAGTTTGAGGGCAGAGAGGGGCCCAGACAGAAGGTAAGTCAGGCGCCAACCACAGAGTGTGAACATGAAGTGATGCTCTCTGTAGTAAGCGGCGAAGGGACCTGAGGGGTCGGAGCAGAGGCCCAATCACAGACTCAGCCAGGAAGAGAAGGCTGAAAAAGGCTTGATTTAGAACTAGGCACACATCCCCACCTCTGACTAAGGTCTAGCCGTAGCCCTGTCTCAGGCTGAGGTTGTGGGGGCGGAGTGCTGGGGAGCACAGAGGGGGAGGCACAGGAGATTCCCAGGCACCCTAGATGGTATGCATTTGCATAGCCACTAGCATGTGCCAAATAAATACTTTCCCAAGCACTGGTTTTCCGCCTGACTGTCACCACAGCCCTGGGAAGAAGGTAGGGCTGATGTGTCTGACGGGAAAACAAAGGCCAGCTTGGGGTCTTCATCGGCCCAGTTTAATGCAACTGGTGACCCTCCATACCTGGAAGAAGGGAAGTTCTCCCTGGCCCAGAGGAATAGCTCAATCAGATCTCTGTAGAGGGGACAGGATCCTCCAGGAAGAGAGCTTAGGACAGAAACTTGTACCTGCTGTATGACCACAGGCGCATTTCCTCACGTGTAAGGGGAGGAGCCAGAATTAGACACTGTGTGACACCCTCATACCGGCCAAAGGCTCGGCAGAGATCTAAGCTTCAAGACGCACAGCAAATGGGGAAAGGGGGATGAGCACACTGGAGCCAATACCCGTGGAGTCAGAAATAAGGGTCCACACAGACAGCGCCACACTGCAGACAGCAAGCCTCCCCAGGCGCTGCGCTCCTCCCATTCTGCCCCTGCCCATCCCTGCCATGGGACTAGCCAGGCCCCTCATGCCCCCTTTCTGCACCTTAACTGCCTCATATGCAAAGCAGGAATCATAAAGGAACCT